CGACCCAGACAGGCCCCCAAGGCGGCTTCCGACGGCGTCAGACAAGCCAGGAACGCGCTAAGACGGACGGCCAAAGAGGCCCCCAAGATGCCCCCAAAGGCCCCCAAACACCCCTCCAAGAGGCTCCCAGGAAGCTCCCAGGAGGCCCTAAGAGTGCCCCAAGAGGCGCCCAAGAGGCCGCCTCCTCCTCCTCCTCCTCCTCCTCCTCCTCCTCCTCCTCCTCCTCCTCCTCCTGCTCTTCCTCCTCCTCCTCCTCACCGTTGTTCCTTGTCCTCCTCCTCCTCCTCCTCTTCTTGCTCCCCCACGCGTTCCCCGAAGTCTTTCCAAACCGACTCGGGGAACAACTGGCCCGATAGCTTGGCCAAGCTCTGGCCCAGTTGTCGGCCACAGAGGCGCTTCCAAAGGGGCAGGGGGCGGCGGTGATTCGCCGCAGGCGTCTTTGATCGGCCGCCCCTGTTGATTTATCACAGGGGAGGCTGGCGTGTTAGATCCTAGACGGTTTTGGTCCTTTTAGAAAACTCACTGGGGCTTCGGCCCGTCCTGCCAGCCACCCGGAGAGACCCCAAACTGCACATGCCAATGCCGTTCATGCCTAAGATGGCCTCCAAGTCAGCCCAAGATGGTCCACGATGTCCCCAAGACGGCCCAAGAGAGTCCAAGATGCCTTCAAGTTCGTCCAAGAAGCCTCCAACACTGCCCGGGATGGCTCCAACATTGCCCTCAGTCTGCCCAAGAGAGCGCCAAGAGCCCTCCAAGAGCTCCACCAGGAAGACCCGAAAAGACGAAAGTCATTGATCTTCCTTCGGTGTTTGAAAGAGTTTGGCATTTGCGTCGTTTCAGCTCTCCGACGGTCGAAGACTGCCCAAGAGGCCTCCAACATCGCCCCAAGAGCGCACAAGAGGCCTCCAAGACGGCTCCATGGCAGCCCAAGAGACCTTCGAGAGGGCCACAACAAGACCCCAAGACGGCCCAAACGGCCCCCAAGACGCCCAATATGGCATTCAAGACGGACAGGATGCCCAACCCGATGCCTCCAAGACGGCCAAGAAGGCCTCCAAGACGGCGAAGATGGCCCAAACATGCACCCAAGACTGCCCACAATGGCCAGAAGATAGCCGTAGACTGCCCAAAAAGGCCCGCCAGAGGCCTCCAAGACGGCCCAAGAGCCCCCCAAGACATCCTCCAAGAAACCCGAAAGCTCGGACACCACCTGGTCCGATAGCTCGCCCGACTCCGTGTTCCCCGAACGCTTTCGAAACCAACTCGGGGAACGCATGGCGCGATAGCTTGGCCAAGCTCAAACTCAACTTTCAGCCACGCAGGCGCTTCCAAAAAGGCAGGGGGCGGCGGTGATTCGCCGTAGGCGTCTTCGATTCTTCGATAGAGAGAGGATGAGGCTCGAGGAAGGGCCTCGACTGGGGGGGGGTGATGATGATGATGACGATGAGGATGCCGCTGATGAGAATGATGACGATGACGATTGCGATGGCGATGATGGTGATGACGATGATGATAAGATGATGATGATGATGATTATGATGATGAGGTTGATGATGATGGTGATGACGACGGTGCTGCTGATGATAGTGGTGACGATCATGATTATGCTGATGCTGCTGCTGATGATGCTGATGATGCTGCTGCTGATGCGGATGCTGATGTGGCTGATGATGATGGCGGTGAGGATGGTGATGATGGTGATGATGATACTGACGATGGTGATGATGATGATGATAATGATGATGTTGCTGATGATGATGCTGATGACGATGGTGATGATGGCGACAGCGGTGATGATGGGAATGCTGATGCAGAAAAATATGATGATGATGCTGATGAGGACGCTGCTGCTGATGGTGATGATGATGATGATGCTAATGATGAGTGTGGCGTTAACGATGATTATGGCGGTGATTGTGACGATGATGGTGATGATGAGGGTGATGATGACGAAGATGAAGATGATGACGATGATGATGGCGGTGGTGGGGATCATGGTGGTGATGATGCTGGTAGTGGTGGTGGTGATGGTGGTGATGATGAGGATGATGAGTTTGGCGGAAATGATGATACTAGTGATGATGAGGATGATGCTGATCATGCTGATGAGAATAATGTTGACGATGATGCTGCTGATGATGATGCTGGTGATGGTGGATTATGATGATGAAAGGGGGAGGAAGAGAAGGAACACAAACAAAGAAGAGGAGGATCAGGAGGCGGCCGAGGGGGGGGGGAGGACACACCCACGACTCTTCACCCGAAGCACGCAAGCACGAATAGTGGAGGTCCTTGTCCACGGCGCCGTCTGAAATGAAGACGGCCACCTGCCGCCGTTTTTGATGTCAGGCGCCCGACTTCGGTGAAGACGCACATTTTCCCTCGAGCACTGCGCTCAAGCCCTTGCGTCATCTGGACTTTGCGACTCTGCGTGTCAATGTGAGGTGATGTGGCTACGCCCTCAGCAGGCGGGTCCTCTGGAGCAACAGGCTGATGGGCTCGCTATTATCGTCTTCCACCCCCCACTCGATTGCATCCTGAACTCCCCCGTATCCCTCCTCCACTCTCCCTCTTCCTCCATTTCGTTCGACAGTATCGTATTCCTCCGCGGTCGGTCGGTCGGCCACTCATGGATGAGCCTGAATCCCCATAGACTGTGAGAAAGGGCAGCGGCGGCAGGATAAAACAGGAAAAACGGGAGGCAGTGATCGCAGCAGCAGGCAAGCCTCGTCAGCGCGACATGACTCAATCCTCCTCATGCGTCCAAAGCCCAATCCCAACATAGGTATGCCCTCCTTGAAGGAGCCCCGTCCTGCGCTAAACTCATTGGTGGGACTTGGCTGGTGGCGTCGGGCACGGCAACTCTGGAAGCACCTAAAAGACACCAAGGGCACGGGTTTACTATAACCATAACCGACGGAGCTCCAAGGCACCCCTGGGCTGAACCTTCGTTCGGCTACTACACCTCAGAAGGCAGCGCTAGGCGAGTGAACGTGTCGAGCACACCTCAGCCAGAACAAAAAACGTAGCGAGGTGTCAGCGAGAGCTTGGTGCCACGCGCACCCAGCACGTTACAAAAACAGTCAAGCAATTCCGCTTCACTTAGGCACTGCGAAAGATTGGTGCCGCGTGCGCCGAATTACTTGTGTGGGAGTCTTGGTGCCTACTGACGATAATTACGACCGCGTTGGAAGTAAAAGAACGGATCAAGAGGAACAAAAACAGGCAAAACAACACTTTCAAGCTCAATGGGTGGAGGTCCTGGGCCCCCCTCAAACTGGCCTTGAACGGTAAGCAACATAGACATAGCCAGGAAACGGCAGAAGTCCGACTGGTGCGTTTTGGCCGCCGCAGCGTTCCAGGCACCGCTTGAATCTCTGCCTCCCAACACCTGAACATGAGCCTTGTGTTGGCATCTCTCGTGACGCGGCGTCTGGCAGCAGCTGACCCATCATGTGAACATTAGGCCCTCAAGAGC